CTTGTGTCAAGGAAATTGTGTCTCAACGATCGCGGAGAAGATCCTGGACAGGAGATCAACACACTTTTCAAGTGAAGTTCTCGTCACTTTTTAAATCCTGATGAACTATAAAAACCAAGCACAACCATAGCTGTCACAGCCAACTGCTCATAAAAGACTGAGTCAGGCCCCACCCAAATGAGCAAGCATAAACAGAGAAACTGTTGTCTTTCTGAAAAAGTGAAAAGATCAGACATTCCGTTCCCTAGGCAGCCTAGACCCAGCCAAACTCAATTTACCATCCAAATGTCTTTGACCTATACTCTCTCATTTACAACTCTTTAGCAAGAGACTAAACTGTAATAGAAAAGTGTAAATGTGTCACCAGACCAGGGTTCAAATCCCTCCTCTACTGATTCCCAGCTATGTGACTTTAAGTCTCAGGTTCCTCATCAGGTGAATGGAGACAAGAGAAATTATTTTGTAGAGTTGCTGGCAAGGTTATAGGGAATTTATTAATTGCCTGGCACAATGATGGTGATCAACAAATGGCAGTTCACATTAATAATAGAAACTATGGAAATGAAAAAAAAAAGACATATAGAAGCAAAAACAGAAACTTTACCCAAAATACTTGTTATAAAACTTAATTTGAGAGATTGACTTGATTTAAATTTTTTTTATCATAAACATTTTAATAATAGCAAACAAGAAGATACAGAGAGTGTACCCATCCCCTGGCTCTTTTGAATTCTAATATTTTACAATACTCGAGTCATATTTTTAAAGAAATAAAATGGAAGATAGAGTTATGTACCCCTTATCTATTCCATTCTCTGCACCCCACTCTCCAGCCTGGGGCTGACTTTTCATTTTTTCTGTGGTTTGTTTCTTGGGGCATTCTTCCTCCACCTTGAGCTAAAAATCACCACAGCCCATTTCTCTCTCTGCATTTGCTGCATTCTGGCTGAAAGATCACCTGCTCCCTCTAGGGCTCCAAGCTCCCTCCCTGGAGGAAGAAAATCCCTGACTGGCCCCTGGGCACTGTCGCTTTCTCAATGGCTTCTCCTTATAGAGGCAGAAGCTGACTGTGGTCAGGCCAGACCGAAGAGTGAGGGCTCTCCCAACATGGCCCAGGCAGCTTCACAAAACATTTCCCCACTGAATCCCCACAATGTCTCGAAGAGGTAACCATTGTCCCTGTTCTACAAAAAAGGAAACCAAACGGAAGAGCCTGAAAGTGACCTGGCAGCAGAGAATTGAAACTGTTTCATCACAACAAAGCAAAACCATGGGGACCAGTTCCACTCCAAGGCAGGGGAACTGGTGGTTAATGGCATAAGTCATAGGGTTTTCAAGTGTGGGCTCACTGTTGCGCTCTATACAGTTAGCTATGTTTCGCTCTTCTTGAAACCAGCACCTTCTAAAAAATATTTGTACAATTAAGAGAAAAAAAGAAAAATGAAAGAAAACCCGAGGAACATGAGATGAGACTCTAACCTCTGCACCCCTTCAATCTTCTTCCATTTTTGTTAATTTAGATGTACAATTGCAGTCAGGAGACCTGGATTCGAGGCCTGATCTCACCACTTATAAGCATGTGACCATGAGCAACTCCCCTTCTCCCAAAGCCTCTGTTTCTACATCTGTAAAATAGGCATAATAATATCTTCCCTGTCTACTCCCTGTGGGTGTTGTAGGGATCAGCAGATAAGGAAAGTAGATATTATCTATTATCTGCATTTAGATATTTTCCATATTCCTGCACTCTGGGGGTCAGGATGATGAGGACTCCCAGGCAGCTCCCCTCCCTAACGCCCAGCTCCATAGACCTGATCTTCAGCAGTTCTCACAATTACCAGCTTTGTGCAGAAACCTTTAATGATCTCAAAGCAACCTCACATTCCTGAGATGGCTGATAATAATAACTAAGATTAATTCTACTTAGTATATGCCAAACATATGTTGGGTATTTTCTATTCTTTATCTTGAATCATTAAAATAATTATGGATGGTAAGTTTTTTTTATTAATCAAAAGCAGTTTTATTTTTGTTTTTTGTTTTTATAAATCACACCCTGAAATATGAAACTGATATGTTTGTATCAGTCTTATACCAATGACAGATAATCAACACCAGTTTAGAAAACAAAACACAAAAATAGATGAAGTATGAGGTTCAAGAGGGGAAAAGCACATTCTTAATAAAAAGATGGAAAGTCTTTCCTTTTATGGATGTTGGGGAAATGTAGGCACTATTACCCCCATTTTATAATTGAGGCTCAGAGAATGACATAAAACTAGAACTTGAGGCAAAGTCTCACTGGATCCATAGCCTATTTTCTTTCAACCGCACTAAACTGCTTGTCTCTAGAATTCCTGCATGTTCTTAGACTCATCAGACCACATTCTTCCTCCCTCCAGTCACAAGGCTAATAAAGTTTAGGATCATGCATAAAAGTGAAAATAACACTCAGGGTAACATTGTTCAGTCTTCCTTGAAGTTGGGTATTTGGAGGGTAGATTAGAGTGGGGACAGAGGTTTATGGCTGGGGTAGGAGATGAGAATTGGACTAAAAGAGAAGTATGGAAATGAACAAGAACACTCCTAGGAAGAGTATATTGATACCACAACATTCTGGGCACAACTCAGTGTTAATTAATTAACCCAATAAATATTACTGAGTGCCTAATATATACTGGTGCTGAGGCTACAATCTCAGGTGTGCTTCCTGCCCTCGATATACACCTGACAAGTCCAACTTCATGGAATGCTTTTGTTAAATATTTAAAGATTAAAAATAAATAAATAAAGACAGAAAGCTAATAGTGATATTTTGCTCTCCTAGGCAGGGACAGGATGAAGGGAGAGAGAATCAGAGCTGGGGCTGTGCTCACTTAGTAAACTCATCCTAGTGTTTGGGTGCCTGTTGGGAAAAGACTGGCAGAACCACAGAATTTAAACTGGTGGGATGGGGTAGGCATCTTTGGCTCGCCCCACCTTCCACAGAGGATATTAAGAGCAGGCTCCTTCTATCCCCTTTCTCCCAAAACTTAACATGGATGGAAAAGACAGAGGTTTGGAGACCTCTGAGCACTAGCCATTTGGGATTACTTAGCTAAGCAGTCAAAGACATCTTTTTGTACATTCCCCAGTTCTGAGAACCCTTCCCCATCAGCTTTCCTCTTGCCAGCCTGAGACCTGTTGGAATATCAAGCAGGTGGCTATGCCAGTTACAGAGGATTGTGGCTACCATGGAAAAGTGAGAAAATAGGATATTTTAAAAACAAAAATATAACCTAACATTTTTATAATGTTTTACATTATAAAAAGCTTTGCCATCTACTATCTCATCTATTTGGATTTGATTATCAGAATAACCTATGAAATAGATGCTATTATCTCTATTTTAGATAGGTATACAGAAGCCCAGAAAAGTTAGTGTTGCCATTATAGTATGTTATAGGAAATAAGAAAGTATAGAGAAGGGCATTCCCCTGAGTGAAATAGGGAGGGTATATCAGGGAATGCTTCCTGGAGGTGACCCAATGGCTACAAACCAATTTTATACTAATAGATGAAGAAGGGGAGACTCCTGGTAGATGACTGTACAAAGGCTTGAAAAGAGCCTTTGAGGAAGACTGGAGAGGCTGGCAGGAGAAAGATGAAGATGATGATTATGATAGTAACCATGACAGCAGCTAACCCTTATCTATGCTTACTAAATGCAGATACTGTTAGAAAAGATAGTGTTCTAAGTGGGTATCTATATTCTCATACCTACCTTGTTAGGTAGGTACTTTTATTATCCCCATTTTACTGATGAGTCAGCTAAGGCACAGAGAAGTTAAGTAGCTTGCCCAAGGTCATATATGATGATCTTGTGTGCTAACTTAAGAAGAATGAATTTTATCCTGGGAGCCAAAAGCACCTTCCACTCTGTGCTCAAAGGGGAGATGGGCACAGATCTGAAATTTAGAAAGCCTTCTTTGACACATGGTGGACTGGGAGTTGGAGGGGGGAAAGAAACTGGAACCTGAGTAGACTAAGAATCTGAATAGAGAGAGTAGGGGTAGAGAGCAGTGGAATATTCCCACATGCCTGGTGCTTGTTTATAAGATATTGCCCCACATGTGTCTGCTTTCTCTACCTGCAAAGGGAGAATAATATATTTCCACCTACCTGCCTCAGGAATTCCTTGAAAATTAATGGGGTAGATGCCCGGCTGGCTTTCATGTGTTAAACAACACCCTCTTACTATGCCGGTAACGCTCTGAACATATAAATTGTGCTTTGACAGAGGACCTGGGATTAATTATAGCTTGTTAATTATTATTAACCTTACCAAAGCTTTGAAACCCTGGACTTTCTCAATGATTCAAAAAAGAGATTCAAAAGAAACTCCATTAAAGTAAGCCACACAGTGTCAGACAAGCAACTTCCCACAGGCCCATTCTTTATTTGCAGTGGTTCAGTGACCTATATGAGACACAGAAAAGAGAAAAGCAATGATTTGTTCTTTTAGAATCAAATTGTACAAAGAACTCTTTATAGTCTTGCTGGTTCTTTAAAAAAAAAAATTGTTCCTTTTCTTCTCCCTATACTGAGTATATGCATAAACATTGTGTTTGTGTGTTTAGGAAAGAGAAAATGTGGTTAACAGAACTTCTAATAGATTCGACACCAGGACACCTGGGTTCTACCCACGATACCATGAGTAACAGAAATGCTTTATAACCTGTCTTCAGATCTGCACCATTCCGTCTCCACAAACATTTATTTGAGGTCTCATTAACAGCCAGGCAGAGAACCAAAGACTTCTCCCAGGAATCTGAGAAAAATGATGGCTGAGAGACTTTAAGTCTCCACGCCTCAACTTCATCACCTGTAAGGACTGAGGTGAGGATGGGATAGTGTTTGTGAACTGTAAACTATAAAAATCTGTGCTATTACGAGGACTGGGAAAAGAGGAAGTAAAAGAACTTAAAGCAGGAAGTTAAAGAACTTAAAGCAGGAACAAGGGCTGGGAAAGAGGAAAAAAAGGAGTAGGGGATAGGGGACAAAAGCGTGACAGTCCCGCAATAGTTTTCAATGCAATTCCCGAGAATTCCAGCCCAGGAGAGGGGCCAGGACCCCCGTTCAAAGTACTCAGCTAGAAGCTGCGCCTAGGGCGGGTCCCTCCACAGGTGGGGCCAAGAGGGCCGGGGGCGAGTCACGGGCGGCTCTTAGGTGAGTATCGGTTCTCCTCTCTCAGGCTTTCGGTCCAGAGAAGGGAGGGGCAACCTCCGCTCCCCTGATCCTATCGCGGACGGCGCAGGGCGTGCTGTGCCTTCTGTAGGACGGGGACGGGGACGGGATGTGTCACCCAAATACCAGAGGGTGAGTTGGCGGCGGAACCAGCCGGGCAGGTCCAGCGGAGTATAAGAGCGAGAGGGAGCGGCCGGCGGCAGAAGCCTGGAAACTGACTCAGACTGCAGAGCCGGAGCCCAGCAAAGCCCCTGAGCCCCAGAGCCCCGTCCGCCCGCGTCCCGTCCGCGCTCCTAGGCCCCATCATGGCCCGGGGCCTGGGTCTTGCGCTGCAGTCGCAGCCGCTGCTTTCGCTGCTGCTTCTGGCGGCGGTGGCTAGCCATGCTGCCGCTGAGGCCAACTGCACGTGCCCCACCAATAAGATGACCATCTGCAGCCGGGACGGCCCCGGAGGCCGCTGCCAGTGCCGTGCCCTCGGCTCGGGCTTCGAGGTCAACTGCTCCACGCTGACTTCCAAATGCCTGCTGCTCAAGGCGCGCATGACAGCCCCCAAGCACGGCCGCTCGCTGGTGCGACCGAGCGAGCACGCGCTCGTGGACAACGACGGCCTGTACGACCCCGACTGCGACCACGAGGGCCGCTTCAAAGCCCGCCAGTGCAACCAGACGTCGGTGTGCTGGTGCGTGAACTCGGTGGGGGTGCGCCGCACGGACAAGGGCGACCTGAGTCTGCGTTGCGATGACCTGGTGCGCACCCACCACATCCTCATCGAACTGCGCCATCGCCCAGCCTCTCGCGCCTTCGATCACTCGGATCTGGACGCCCAGCTGCGGCGGCTCTTCCGCGAGCGTTACCAGCTGCCCGCCAGGTTCGTGGCGGCCGTGCACTACGAGCAGCCCACCATCCAGATCGAGCTGCAGCAGAACATGTCGCAGAAGGCTCCCGGAGATGTGGACATCGCCGACGCTGCCTACTACTTCGAGAGGGACGCCAAGGGGGAGTCGCTGTTCCCGGGCCGCGACGGCCTCGACCTGAACGTGCGTGGCGAGCCCCTGCTGGTGGAGCGGACACTCATCTACTACCTGGACGAGAAGCCCCCCCAGTTCTCCATGAAGCGCCTCACGAGTGGCCTCATCGCCGTCATCGTGGTGGTCGTTTTGGCCCTCGTCGCCGGCGTGGCCGTCCTGGTGATCAGCAACCGAAGGAAGTCGGGGAAGTACAAGAAGGTGGAGATCAAGGAGCTGGGGGAGTTGAGACAGGGACCGAGTTTGTAGGTACGGGCAGGGCTGGGGGCGGGTGGGGAACGGGGTTTCTGCAGGGTCCCAGACCAAAGTGGATCATGCTTCTTGAATCTTGGCCCAAAGGAAACATTTCCGAATTTCCTGCCTCTTCCCAGCCCGCCAAGTTTAACAGATCCTGCTCTCAGGGTCACGTCTCTTTCTGACTTCTGTCTTGAAAGAAGCATTTCTAAAATGCCTTCCCTTTTGGTCCGACAAGAAACGTGACTCAAAGAGTTAAGGAAAGTGTGGCATAGGGTTATATGTAAGAATCAAGTGTCTGTATGACAATCCAGCATCTTCGTAAGTGAAGCAATCGATGTTGAAAGCTTAAATGCATTTAGATGGGAAACAGCGCTTTTACTGTCTTGGGTTTAAGTTATTTAATTAGCTCCACTTGTATCATGGCCTTCCTGATGAGGCCAGTGTAGTATCCTTCTTGACCGTCGTTGTATTTACCAGCCACATATGCTTGTCACGGAGAAGGAAGCCTGTTTCAGCTTCCTGAACACATTTTAGATGTCTTTGTTTGAGGGCAGACTCTGCCCCAGAAACTCAGCGTCTAGTCTTCAGCTCTGCCTTGTTACAATTAGTAATGTTTCTTTTGTAAAATGTTTGTACATATGTTGTCTTTGATAATGCTGCTGTGATCTTTTTTAAAAAACAAAACAAAACAAAACACGAATTTAATAAAATATGGAAAAGGCACAAACTAAAAGATGGAGTTGGTGAAAACTTGCCTCCGGTTTATATCACTTTGGTCTCTAATTTCCCATGACTCGGATTTCTTATTTCAAATTCTAATACTTTTTTTGTAGGAACGGAAATTTCATATTGCCACTCTGGTAAACACCAGAGCTGCATTAACAGGCTGGTATAAATACCGGTGTTTCTAAATAAGATTATTTGAAAGTCTCTCTCGACTGCAGGAGGAGAGGTCTGAGGGAGGTGACTAGAACTAGCTGCTATTGAAAAAGGGGACTAGCCTTAGGGTTATCTCTAAATGAGAATTCTCTAGTGGAGAATGAAAACTACCTTTGTTTCAGGAGCTGCATCTCTTTTGAATCCTTGTCCTGTTCGGAAGTAGGTGGTACTATATCCTTTTAGCCCTTGGCAATTTACTTAATCCTAAAGTGTGTGGCTCTGAGAGAGGTTTACTTTCCCACATTGTTAACAGCCAGCCAGCCAGCCAGTCAGTCAGTAGTGAACTCTATGCTCAGGCTGTGTGTGTATGTGTGTGTAACTCACAGAAGGCACAGCCCATTCCACACTGCCAGCGTCCACTAACATTGTTTTCCTAAGATTTTACTAGTAATGTGCTTTAAAAATGTGTACTTCTTACTATCTGTAAAAACCAGCAACTTGCCTGTTTTATGCTTATCTCCTTGTTTTCACTCATTTCACATTGATTAAGTGAAGCTAAGTGTGCTAAAAGGTCTCTGTAAGGTAGACTACAAGTAAACAAGTTCCTGTAATTCTTGGGAAATTGCTGCAACAATGGGCATGTAATAAAGGAGGGAGCGGTTGGTATATCCAAGAGCAAATAGCTAGATGCAGGACTTCAGTTTCTTCCTCCAGCCCCTATTCTGTGTTCTATGCCTACCCCTCCGGGACTGAAATACCAGTAAGAATTGTGGGGAGGTAGCTGCCTTTACAACCTGGGGCTGTGGCTGGTGTGTACAGCTGGCTGAGTGAATACTTTATCACCAGAGATTTCTAAATCTGTAACCACTCCTCCTAGGCTCCAGACTTCTCTTAGGCTCAAATGGGGTTTAACTCAGGGAGAGGGCAAAAAGGGACTGACTGCCCCGCAGAGGGAAGGGTTATGGAAGTACCTGAGGTCAGAATGGGAACCAACCATAACAGTGAGTGAGGCGCCACTCTCTAAGTGCCCTAGGCTTCCCTGAGTCACTGAAGTGTCTTAGCCGAAGGAGCCTTGGCAATCACCTCTAACCTAACACCTCATTTTTCAAAGGAAAGAACCAGTGACTTCTCAAGATTGTTGTTTCTGTGGCACAGCCAGAACTAAGTGTAAAGTCTCTTGATTCCTTATCCAGTATTTTCACTGTCGTTTGCCTAGAAAATAAGCAGATTAAGGATGGAGTGGGAAGCTGAACAAAGGAAAAAGCCCTGAAAAAAAAGCCCATTCCTTCATCAGAATGTCACTTCTGGATAATTTCTAAATTTCTGCGTCAATTCAGGATTATGAGGCCTTGCATTTTGTTGCACTTAATAGTTCACAAATCACTTTCACAGGTATCATCTTTGAGACATTGGCTTACTGAAAATAACCCAAGTTTTGACAAACCTAAGTTCAAATTCTGCTCTCCTGGGTAAATCTCGCTCCATTTAACTCTCCTCAGTTTTCTTGTTTGTTGAACGAATCTACAAATTTCCCTACCACTATTGCAAAGGTTAAATGAGATAATTGGTAAGAGTGTCTAAAATAATCTGGGCAATTAGGGTTCAGTATATCTTAAATTTTCTACTCTCCTATAGATTATATTCATTTCACATATCAGAAAACTGAGGTCCAAAGAGGTTGAGTAACTCATCATCACACATCTTCCAAGTGCCAAAGCCAGGCTTTAGAGTCTTTGTCTTTGGCTTCCTAGTCCAGGTTGCTATCCCGTGTGCAAGCAGGTTGAGACACCTTTCTTATTCCCTTCTACCAAGGAAAAGCTCCTCATACTTCTGTTGGGAAGCTCAGCTTGCTTCTGGGGACAGGAGTCTCCAGAAGCCGTCTCCACGGTCTTTGTCTCCACCTCCAGGATTTCCCCTTAAAATTTCCATTCACTGCTTTGTGCACAGGCCTGGGACTGCCCTTGGAAGGAATGTGAGAAACAGGTGTGACTGACCCAACAGGTTGCAGCTTGTCTTCTGAGCCCCAAGGCTCATCTGATTTCTTTGTTTTGGTCACTGGGGCTTTCTTTT